GAGCCAGAGAAGAGCTGTCTTCACAGTTCGGAATGTCCAATGTTCAACAGAAAAGAGGATTTTCTTTTCTTTTCTTTTTTTTTTTGTTTGTTTTGTTCTGTTTTTGACCCAAGAGGGTCTGGAACATGAACAAAGCCAGAAGATGGTCAAACTGAAGAGTGAAAATGTAGCTGGGCTCAGAAATAGTACAGGACACCACCGAGATCAGATTCTAAGTGATACAAAAGACAGATGGAAGCACTGCCGACACACATCTGCTGTGGTGGGAAATTTGAATGTGTTCCAGGGACTGGCGAGGGTGTGGCTGAGTAGACACGTGCACACAGCAGCATTTTCTGCGCGCTACAGGAGATGTTGTCCGAGTTACAAAAACGTTTCATAAAGCAACCGTTAAAACAAAACACACAACCCTATACCATCGAAACTCTGAAAACAGCTACCTTCACTGAACTAAACTACTCTTGTTTATTTATTTATTTTTTCCTTTTTGTGCTTTCAGCGCTGGGGACTGAGCCCACAACTCACACACGCAGGCAGCTACCCTGAGCTCTATCCCCTGCTCCCTCTCTTTATAACTTTCGAAGTCAGACTGGTTTATATCTCACCCACTGGCATATTTGAGTTTCCATTGCTTCTTAGGAAAGCCTCTACTTTAAAAAAAAAAAATCTAGAAATTCTGAGGCCAGAGGGATAGTACATGCTTTGCACGTGGTCAATCTGAGTTAGAGCCTTGACAAACAAAGTGGTCCCCCAAGCCTGCGAGGAGTGATCCCTGAGAATATGCCTCCCCAAACAATGTAGATATTGAGTAAACAGGCTCACTTCATTTCCATATAGGAACAATCAACTAGAGCTGAGGAGATAATACACCTTGCATCACCACTTCCTTTGTCTTATGTTTAATATTTAAAGAAGAAAAAAAAGAGGAGCCAGAGTGATAGCATAGAGGGTAGGGCATTTGTCTTGCACGCAGCCAGCCCACTCGAGTTCAATCCCCAGCACCCCATATAGTCCCCCAAGCACTGCCAGGAGTAATTCTTGAGTGCAGAGGCAGGAGCAGCTCCTGAGCATCGCTGGGTGTGTGGCCCAAAAAGGAAAAAAAAAAAAAAGAAACTACTGAAGCCCTCTGACACTTAAGTTTGTAAATTATGGTTTTCATTGTAAGATCACAAACCTATATTCTTTCAACTGATTGAGGGCTGATGGTGCCCAGATGATCAAGATATTCTGCAAACAAGTATTAAAAATTCACTATGCCTGCCCTTGAAAAACTTGCAGGCCAGAAGCAAGAACCATTTGTACTCTGATGGTAGGCACTTTTCAGTGTTTTGCGCGTGTGTGTTATTCTCGTCTTTCCTTTGTCATTTATTAGGAACTGTCAGCATTTGTGAGTTATTAGAAAACAATGTGATGAGTAATTAACAGAGTGTGCAGAGTGAGATAAAGAGCAACAGCAGGGGGAAGGAGTGATAGCGCAGTGAACATTTTCCTTACATACAGCCGAACCTGGATTCTATTCCCTGCACCGGAGCCTGACGAAAGTGATCCTTGAGTGGAGACCCAGTAGAAAGTCTGAGCACTGCTGGACTTTCCCCCCAAAAGGGGGGAAAACAATAAAGACTTTGACCTTGATAGAGAAGAAGGGGTCAGAGCATGACTACTTTTGTAGGGCTGCCGTGATTTTGTTCTTCATTGTAAGAGTACACTTTAATGGGTGCTTATCAAGTCTTATCAAAATCAAGCCTGATTTAGCAAGATGAAGGAGTAAGTGCTGTAAGTTTCCAAGTATTATGTTAATTTACATAACAGATACTTTTCTGTATCTGGTGGCTCACCAATAAAGAACCTATTTTATTTTTTATTTTGGGCCCATTCCTGTGGGCCTAACTCTGCTGGGGGTTATTCCTGGCATTGCTTGGGCACATGCAGTGCTCAGACCCTGAACCTGGTTGGCAGCACGGAAAACAGTGTTTTAACACCTGTATTATCTCTCTCACCCTAAAATAGAAACCATTTCAGCAGCAGAGTTCAATGTGATTTTGAAAAGCTTCTTGAATATGGCAGAAGTTTAGAATGTGGAAGCGGGCACAGAGTGATAGTACCGTGGGCAGGGCATTTGCTTGCTCGTGGCCAATCCAGGTTTGATCCCTAGCACCACATATGGTCCCCTGAGACAGCCAGGAGTGAGTCCTGAGTGCAGAGCCAGGAGTAAGCCCTGAGCACCAACAGGTGTGGGCCCGAAACAAAAACAAAATAGGACGTGGAAGTAACTTCTGTTAAAAACTCAAATGCTTCCTACAAAGTAAACTCTGACAGATGAAATACCCCAAATGAGGTCATAAAAAGGTAGTGAGTACCGTTAAGGCAATGAGTACCTTTTGATGACCCTTGGGTCTGGATTGCTAGTACATTGGACACTGCCTTGCACAGGGCCAGCCCAGGACCAGGCATCCCATATGGTCCCCAGAGGACAGCCAGGAGTAATTCGTGAACATCACCAGGTATGGCTCAAAAACTACAAACAGAATCAAAAAAAGGCAGTGAGTAGCAGATATTAATTAATGAATTAATTTACTTATTTTTGGCTACATTCAACAATGCTCAGGGGTTTCTCTTGTCTCTGCACTCAGGAATTACTGGTGATGCTCGGGGTGGGGTGGAGGGTGTGTGGGAAACCATATGAAATGCTGATTATCAAACCCTGGTTGGCAGCGCAAGGCAAATGTCCTAACCACTCTACAAATTCCCTACCCACTGTTCTCTTGTTCTGGCTGGCCTTTCTCTCTCCCTCCCCTCACCCCTTCTCTCTCTGCTTTTAGGCCACACTCATGGAGCTCTGTACTCAGAAAACACTCCCAGAGGGCTTGGGGGGTGGGGCCATGAAGTATGCTGGGAATTGAACCCAGATCTTCTGTGTGCAGGGCAAGAGCCCTATCCATTGTACTCTTGCTTTGTTTCCAGTTTTCTCTTTTTCCTAGCAGGCCTGGAATTTGGGATTGCCATCTGCCGTGGGGGTGGGGTTGGGGTATGTGCAGGGAACCATACTGACATGATAAGGATCAAACCCTGGTCAGCAGTGCAAGGCAAAGCCTTACCCACTGAACTATCTCTACCTCACTTAATTTTCACTTTTGGTGGTGGTGATGGGGGAGGGGCATGCACATCTGGCTATGCTCAGGGCTTCTCCTGGTTCTGTGCTCAGGGAGCATCCCTGGTGCCCAGGATCAAATCCAGGTGTGCAAGGCAAGCGCTCTACCCGCTATTCTGTAACTCCGGCCCACATAATTTTCACCGATCCTCTTTGTCTACTCTTTGACTTCCTGCCACTTTTCATGAAGATAACTGTTGCCAGTCAATTCCAGCTATACACCTTTTTTTTTTTTTTGCTTTTTGGGTCATACCGCAATGCTAAGGGGTTACTCCTGTCTCTGCACCCAGGAATAACTCCTGGTGGTGCTCGGGGGACCATATGGGATGCTGGGAATCGAACCTTGGTCAGCTGTGTGCAAGAAAAACGCCCTACCTGCTGTGCTATTGCTCCAGCCCCTACACTTTCATTTTTATGTATCAAAAAAGTAAACACTTTTATTACTTAAAACTTTTGAAATATCTGTAAACAGATATTACATTTTTACTCAAATATATTTAAAAAGTTTTTGTTTATGGTCTCAGAGATTGAACCCAGAAAGTACTCCAATCCTTTGGGGCAATCTCCCTAACCCAATTTTTCTTTCTTGCAGTGTCTGGAACCAAACCTAGGACCTCACTCATATGGGCAAGACTAGAACTGCCCTTGAGCTAGGGGCCCCAGGCCCCACGTATGTTTAAAACCAAATTTAAAACAGGAAAAACAAATTAAAGAATTCTAACTATGCAGGGTCACGAGAATAGGTAATCCTGGAAAGTCTTTTAACTGTTCGCAACCTGTTGCAGCCAACCGACTTTCTTCTCTGACTCTAGTTTCTAACTGGTCATATCCTGACTTGGCTTCATTTTTTTACATTCGTCCCTTCGACTTTCTGATCTCACGCGAGATCTTCAAATGAAGTAAAATCGTGCTTCTAGCTTTGTTTGGAATTGCAATTGGATCACAATCGTATATTACTGACCCACCCCACCCCGTCTCTTATTAATTAATCTAGAATTCAAAGCACAAGCTTACCAAATACAGAACGCTTTGGGTTCTAACTAAACGGTAAATCACGGGAGTCTAAAAAAAAATAATGCATTCCAAATATTTATAAATTGCAATAAAAATATAATCTTTTAAAGTCCATCACATAGCTGCTGGACAAACGATATTATCCAGGCAACGTCTTACCTTCAAGTCTGGAAGTAATCCGAAAGTTGTACATTTGCTGGGCGTGATGGCCCTCTAAGCATTTAGAGCCGGCGATTTTAACAACTGCAACACATCTGGCCAGAACACCCGGGATTTCTTTTTAAGCCCCTCCCATCAATTTACTACAGCTGAGCAGAAGGACTTAATTACAGGCAAACTTTTCTCCTCTGCACCCAGCATCCCAGAAACGAGGCTCTCCGAGCAGCGGCAGTCTGGGCAGGGTACCAAATGGTACCCCCGCGGGGGGAAGGGGGAAAGAGAAAGTGATACAAGACAAAACTCGTCCAAGCAGAGATGAGCGCCACCTGGGCCCGGGGGCCGATTCCGGGTTCGGGAGCGAGGGTTCTTCCCGGACACTCAACGGGGCAGCCGAGTTCACGCTGGCGACCATTGAAAACCTTCCCCACAGCACCAAGCTCAGCCACAAAACCGCGCCCCGCCGAGCTTTGACCTCCAAAGCGGGCGCTGGGCGAGCCCGCCTCTCGGACTTCAGATGCGCGCCTCGGATTGGTTTCGAGAGGCTGGGTTTCGAGAAGATGGCTTGGATTGGCTTCCTCGGAGTGGATCACCCAATGGCCAAGTCGGCCGGTGCCCCTCGCCCCGCCCCTTTCCCCGCCCTCCCCCGCGGAGGTCCCACCCCTTTTTACCCCGCGCCCGGGAGCCGAGGAGAGTAAATACAACAGGAGCGCAAAATGGCGGAGCCGCCGAGCCCTATGCACGGCGCTGCCGCCGCCGCCGTCTCGGAAAAGGAAGCCTTGGGCAAGCTGCAGCCCCCCTCCCGGGACCCGCCAGGTCCTCTGTCCGCCAAGAAGGTCCGGACTGAGGAGAAGAAGACGCCGCGGAGACTGAACGGAGAAGGGAGCAGCGGCGGCCACAGCAGGCAGCTGCAGCCGCCGGCGGCACCTTCGCCTCAGAGCTATGGCAGCCCCGCGGCTTGGAGCTTCGCCGCTCTGTCAGCCGCCCCCTCGCCGTCCTCTGCTCGCAGCGGGTTCTCGTTCTCGGGCAGCCCGGGGTTGCCCTCCTCAGCCGCCGCCGCCGCCTCGTCTCAGCCGCTGCCGCGCAAACTGCTGCTGCCTCCTACGCTGCTGCACGCGCAGCCCCCGCGGCTGCTGCTGCCGCCCGCCGCCGCCGCTGCCGTCGCCGTGTCCCCGGCCGGCGCCAAGCCGCCGCGCAGACCTAAGGAGAAGCGGGACCGGGAGCGGCGCAGGCACGGCCTCGGCGGGCCGGGCGAGGCCGGCGGGGCCGCGCGCGAGGAGAACGGGGACGTGAAGCCGCAGCCGCGAGGTGGGTGCGGGCGCCCGGAGTGGGGGAGGGGGAGGAGGCGGGGGGCCCCGGGCCGGGGCAGCGCGCTGCTCGCGCGTGCTTAGCTCGGCGGCCCGGACCCGTTCTGGGTGGGCGATTTGGGCCGCCCTCCCGCACCCCCCCTCTCGGGGACAGGAAATGGAGCCTGTAATTTCGGGGGCGGCCCGGGGGAGGGGGGGAAGAGGGCCGGAACGCGCCTCTCGCACGTCCCTGCGCCGCCGTCGGGGCGCCGCGGTCTGTGCAGGATCCGCTGGAAGGGGTGCTGGTGGCGGGGGTGGGGCGGGGCGGGGTGGGGGCGTCGCGCCAGCCTTGGGTCTGGAGAACGGGACGCGCCGGGTGCGGAGCCCGATTCGACAAGCTCCCGGAATTCGTACTGGGGTTTGCCCAAAGTGTATGAGTGGTGTGCAAGTGTGTGCAAGTGCGTGCGTGTATAAGTGTGTGTGTGTGTGTGTGTGTGCGCGCGCGCGTGTGTGTAGCATCGGCGTCAGTGGGGAGCTCCCGGAGGCCCGAGCCCGAGTTTTCATCCCTATTAGGGAACGGAGGTGTTTGCAGGGCGCGAAGCTGTTTCATGAGTACCCCTAGCTGCACTCTCCCGCCGCAGCTCGTTCTGGAGTGTCTCCGGGCTCCGGTTGGAAAAGCAAAGAATTTTCAACCCTATACGTATATATTTCCCCCCCCGTGCCTCAAATGATAAAAATCAGGAGTATCGACTTCTATTTCGGGGGAGGAGGGGATCTTGCAAAATCAAGTGTATGTGCATCAGAAGAAAGGTTGGATTTCCGCTGCCTTCTCTGACCCCGCTGGATTGTTTCCTTGTTAAAATGTAGCAAGGTGTTGCTCCTAGGGAGGGGGACGGTGGTTAACTATGTAGCTGTCCTTCCGAAGCTACATAGTTGGTGGTCCGAAGCTACATAGTTGGTTATCCGGGTGGAAAATCAGGCGACTGCTGGAAAAGGAGATCGCTCTGATCTTCTTCGTGGTAAATAGACGTTGACAGTATATGGTCAGGTGGAGTTTCTGGAAAACGGAGCACTGCTTCGCCTTAGCATGTCTGATCTGACGGTGACTTAGAGCTGCCGTCACTGAAAATTCTGTTTGAATGTTGACCACTGAGAAATCAAAGTTTGTTAGGTTCTGCGCGCAAGTGCGTGCATAGCAAGTGTTGCTTCTTGATGTTTTTGTCAGAGCAGGGCTTTGACATCCAAGCGTTGGCCATCAGGTGCTAGATAAGATCTGTCAACTTTGCAGTCATTTCTAGGAAAGTTGTTTTTTGAAGATGGCATTTAGGCCGCTTTTACCTCCGAATTTATGAGGACAGTGTTTTAAAGCTGTTTTGTTTTGATGACTTAAAATGTAACTTCAATGTTTGGAGTGCTTTGGGCGGGAGCGATGGTATAGCATGTTTATCGCTGATACAAGGGCGATTACGTTGCACGCAGCCGACCTGGGTTCTATCATCGGCATCCCATATGGTGCATCTCCGGAAGTGATTCCTGAGTGCAGGAGCCAGGAGTACTCTGGGCACCGCTGGTGTGTCCCTCAAACCAAAAAAAATAAATAAAAATAAAACAAAACCCAAAGTTTTCAGTGCCTGGAAGATTATCCTTTTGAAGCTGAACATCACTTTTTGTCTTTGCTTTGGGCAATCAGGGACTCACTGCAGCTTGGTGCTGGGGCTTGGGGTTCAGTACTAGGAACATTGCAGTGCAGAGCTCGAACCTGGGACTTCTGCCCTCCAGCTCTTTGAGCTGTCTGCAGACACTGGTATCAGTTTTACTGGTGCTATGTGAGCAGTGTTTGCTCTTCTAAGTTCCTTGAATGAGGAAGTGAATATGGGTATAACTGTTGTCCATGTATTGAAATTGCTAAATACAATTGTTAGAATACACTCGTATTCTAACATAAATAGGCCTTGAAGTGTAATGACTACTAAAGGGAGTGTTTTTCTTTCTTCCTTTTTTTTTCCTTTGTGGTCTTTTAAATGATAGTAGACTTCCTTTTGAAGGCTAACAGCTTACCTTAGTAAGTGTGAATATAAGCAATGATTGGTTATTTAGGTTGATATTGGGGGAGGGGAGTAGTAACTAAATATTAATAGAGTTGTAAGACTCACCCCCTCCTTTTTTTCTGGGTAGAACTCCTACTCTCAACCCCTTTTTCTGTGATTCCAGGGATCGAATTCAGGTCACATATAAGCAGAGTATATTTACCAACAACTAGAAACACATTCCTGGCCAGAAATCTGCTTTAAAAAAAATTAAGAGGATAGCTGTTCAGCGTCTTCATTGTAAATTGAATCATGAAAATTTTAACTTGGAATTTTCATGTTAAATACTCAAAAAGATACTTGTTTTGGGGGGCCACATCCAGCGGTGCTCAGGACTTATTCCTGCCTCTGTGCTCAATGATCATTTCTAGTGATCTTGGGGCACTATAAGGGGTTCCTGGGATTGAACTCCGGTTAAGCGCTGCAAGACAAGTGTCCTACCTATTGTGGTATAGCTCTGACCCCAAAGATTCTTAAGATAAAATGGCATTTAGGTAATAAATTGCATACATGGCAAATATAAAAGTCTTTTCATTGCAGTTTTCATTTAAATCTTGATGAATGGATAATCAGGTATCTTTTTTTTTAAATAAAGATATATATCGTTTTTTTATTGCTCTAAGTTGGATAATTCATAGACTAGCACATAGAATAATTTAGTGGCCTCTTCAGTTTTCCCATAGCTCATTGATTGCTCTGAATCAGAATTGAAACCTACCTAACAAGATATCCAAGCAAGGAAAACAGACTCATCACTTAAAAAAAAAATGAAAGAAATCTTCATAAAATACTACAGTACATAAGACACTTCTCTTGTATGCTGCCAACCTAGGTTTAATCCCTGGCACCCCTTAAGGTTTCCCAAGCCCAGTCAGGAATGATTTGTGAACACAGAACCAGGAGTAAGCCCTGAGCACCATCAGGTGTAGTCCGCAAACCAAAAAGCAACCAAACAGAAAACCTCAAGAGATCCAAAAAGTCCAACCAATTAGCTCCATTAAACAGTTAAGCTACTGCATTTACTTCTAATCTTAAAAAAGAAAAAAAAAAAGACTTGTTAAGGCTCCGTGACTTACAAAGTCATTCTAGTAAAGTTTCAGCCATACAGCGTTCAAGTCCCAATCCCACCACCAGTGTCAAATTTTCCTCCATCAATGCTCCCAGATTCCCTTCTGTTAACTCCCCCTCCCCCCAAGCTTGCCCTCTTGACAGGCACTTTTTGAAGTTCTGTTGTTAAAGTTTGGGTCTCATGATTTTAGTGTTGTTGACTCTGGTTTGGATATTTAGCTTTAACATTTCTTATCACCACTAATGTATCTGAATCCTCTTCACCCCCACTTTGCTTCTTGTCTTTCCCTTCTCCCCCATCCCCTTTACTATGTTTCTTTCTTCTCCCTCTATTCTGGGGCCTTGGGTGATCTGGTTATCACCTCTGAAACCATTGTATTCCCTCATCCAATTTTTCTAAATATCATATAAGACATCATCGGTCTTTATCCTTCTCCTGGTGTACTTCATTTAACATACCTTTCAATTCTATCCATGTTGCTGAGAATTGCATGATTTCATCATTCGTTACAGCTGTGTAGTATTTTATTGTGTGTATGTGTATATATTGTATACATATATACACACATATGTACGTCCCTTCACTATCCACTTCTCTCTTGTTGGACCACTAGATTAATTCCATATTTAAATTATTATACCAAGTGCTGCAATGAATAATGGTGTGCATTTGTCTTTCTGAATGAATGTTTTTGTGAGTGCAGAAGCTAGATAGCTAAGAGTGAAATCACTGGGTCATATGGCAGCTCAATTCTCAGTTTACTGAGATATCTCCATACTGTTTTCCATTAAGGTTGAACCAGGCAACAAACCTCCAGCAGTAAGTGAGACTTCATTTTTTACCATACCTCTGCCAACACAGATTGTTCCCAGTATTTTGATAAGTGTTGTTCTTATTGTTGTGAGATTTGTCAAAAATTAGCTGACCATAGGTATGGGGTTTGTCCTTGGATATTTTATTCTGACCCATTGATTAGAGGTTTTTTTTATATTAGTACCATGCAGTACCAAACCATCAATGTGACTTTAGTATAGCTTCAAGTTAGTTACAAAATTCCTCCCAGTTTCTTTTCTTTTAGTATGGTTTTCGCTGGGAGAAAAAGAGATATTACTGGCGCCTGCTCGAGTAAATCGACAAACAAGGGGATTACAGTGATGGTTTTGGTTATCCAGTATTTTATAATTCCACATAAACTTTACTATTGACTGTTCTAATAATGTCTGAATTTGGATGGGGATTGCATTGAATCTCTATAGTAATTTAGGTAGGATGATCATTTGACAACAGTAATTCTTTCAATTCATGAACATGAAATTTTTTCCATTCCCTAAGTTCTTCAGTTCTTTTTCTGAAGTGTTTTAAAGTTTTCATGGTACAGGTCTCTCATGTCTTTTGTAAGTTGATTCCTAGGTACTTGATGGGTTTGGACACATTTTTAAATGGTATAGACTCTTTGATTTCCTTCTCTTCTGATTCATTATTTGCATATAGGAACACAACCTATTTTTGTATGTTAACTAACTTTGTAGCCTGCCACATTGCTTTGTTGGTTTATTGTTTCTAGGAATTTTTCTGTGGACTCTTTAAACAGCAGCAACAGCAACAACAATAGTAAAAAATTGTTCAAACAAAAACAAAATGTTACTCTTTTATTTTTTGATTTTGGGACTGCAACTGACAGTGCTCAGAGCTTACTCCTGGCTCTCAACTCAGGGATCAATCTCAGCAGGGCATGGGTATCAAACCCAGATTGGCCACATGTAAGGCAAGTGCCCTACCTGCTGTCCTATTGCGCCTGTCTTTTGCTTTTCATTTTTTAATAAACAAATGAAAAGGTAGGTCAGTCCATATGAAAAAAGAATACAG